TATTTTTTTGGTAAAATCAGTAGTATAAAAAAAAAAAAAAAGGCTTAATTATACCAGAAGGTACTGAACTATGACTTTTTTCCTATTGAAGGTACCAAACTATATTTTTTCCTGTTGAAGATACTAAACTATCAATTATTTATGTTGAAAGTAACGAACCTTAAATTTTACCTATTGAAGGTATCAAACTTTCATATTTTTTTCCTACAGCGTTAAATATTGATGACATGACATTTTTTCCGTCAAAAATCGCTGACATGACAATTTGGGTGTGCTAACTGGATATTTTGACGTGGCAATTAAGGTTGACTTAAGCATTTATAATCTAAAATATCTCAAATGAACCCCCTTTTTTTTATTTATTTCAATAAAGACCACAAAAACCACCCAGAATAAATAAAACCCACCTAGAATGAAAACTTATCATAATTAAAACCCACCTAAATTGTATAAAAAAACAATAATCAATTTTAAAGTTTTTTATCCTCTAAACCAATTTGATTAATTTCACATAACTTCTTTCTGGATCATTAATAGATTGCTACAACAAATTTGATTAATTTCTAGATCATTTAGGTGCAAATATTTCAGCAAATAGAAGGTAATTAATAAGCAAATTGCAACTAGGTAGGCAATAGTACATATTTATATAAACATTTGGAACATGTTTTTTTTTATTAAAATGCAGAAAGCGGAAAGAAAGTTAAAAAATTGGTTTTTTTATTAATTTTTTTTTTCTAAAAATTCAATAAGTATCTTAATGATATATATATATATATATATATATATTTAATAAGCAAATTGCAACTAGGTAGGCAATAGTACATATTTATATAAACATTTGGAACGTGTGTTTTTTTATTAAAATGCAGAAAGCGGAAAGAAAGTAAACCAATGGGTGTTTATTATTTTTTTTTCTAAAATTCATAGTATCTTAATGATATATATATAATAAATTTAGGTTATACATATCGCCCTCGGTTATTAATAACAATAATCCCCAAGTACTAAGAGAAATATAACATTTGAACGTGTTTTTTTAATAAAATGCAGAAAGCGGAAAGAAAGTTAAAAAATTGGTTTTTTTATTAATTTTTTTTTTCAAATTTCAATAAGTATCTTAATGATATATATATATATATATATATAAGCAAATTGCAACTAGGTAGGCAATAGTACAATTTATATAAACATTGGAACGTGTTTTTTTTTTTTTTTATTAAATGCAGAAAGTGAAAGAAATTAAAAATGGGTTTTTATTAATTTTTTTTTCTAAAATTCATAAGTATCTTATGATATATATATTATATATATATATATAATAAATTATATATATTATTATATTATTTTATATATATATATATTTAGGGTTATAACATATCGCCCTTCGGTATAATTAAATACATAATCCCCAGTTAAGAGAATAACATGATTTTTTCTATTGTTAATTTTTTGTGTTAAAAAATGGTAGAGGGCAAATTAAGTAAATATTCATTCTACCGTTATAAACTCTAACGATACACAACAATTAATTAACAATAGTGGAGTTTTTGTTATTCTGAAATTTCATGGAAAGGATAAACGCGGGGGGGGCGCGGGTGGGTTGGGGTTGATGGGGGTGTGTGTGTCAAGAAACCCCTTTAAGATTTTTTTTTTTTTTTTTTTTTTTTTAGAAAAAACAAAAAAATCAAATCAACATCCTCCATAATAAACTAGAGTGTTGTAATCAATAAGTTATTAACCGTAGCAAACGCCAACAAACAAAATTCGGATATAAATAACCAACAAGATTGGTTATGTTAGAGTTAGTTTTTAATCTTATACTTTTAATAAACCTTTTGGTGTGAGGATATCTCGAAGCTTTACTTATCAGATGAAAAACTTAAATCATAAAAAGATCTTTATAAATAAAAAACATTAATCACACTTTAGTTACAACTTTGAAGTCTTTCATTACCATAAATTTATTACATATTATTCACACATTGAACTCTTATGTGTACATAATTGAAGGGAGAGGAAGCATTGCAAAAAATTTAATATTTTTAAAACGTTATGTAAAAGCAATTATTTCTTTATAAATACTATAAAAATATCATACTAGAATTCTTATACTAAAAAATGAAAATTTTAAATGTATAATGAAAAACTAATCATGGTTATGGAGAGTTATATTGAAGCTCATTGACTTTATTTTTTATGAAATATAAAATTTTTAGAATTTTTCTAAAAATATACATATAAGTTGATAGAAATTTAATGAAATAAAAAAAAATATGTATTTTAATTTGGAATAAATAATTAAAAGTTAAGAATCCATAATATTTTAAAAGGGTTAAGAAAGAAACTTAAGAGAATTAATTGTATGAAGGGTTTTTATTGAATTTTCAAATCTCAAGGGGGCCATTCCACTTTACGCAGCATTCTAGAAAAGCATTCCTATAAATTAAGATTTCTCAACCACAAACTGCCATAAATATAATTTCAATTATATTTGTTTATTACGCATTATTATTCATCAAATGAAATGAACATGTGCTTTAGAGGTGGGCAAGGGACCGGCCGGGGCCTAGGACCGGTCCCAGGCCCATGAGAAAAACCAGGACTTGGACCAGGCCCTAGGCCTGGTCGGGACTGGTCCCATGGGCCCAAGACCGGTCCTAGGACCGGTCCCATGGGCCTTGGATAATTTCATTTTCCCCTCTCAATTTTTTTATATTTCGGGGCAAAACAAAATTTTATAGAGGGTTTTTAGTATTTTTTAGGGGTAAAAATTATAAAATTTATAAATTTTTTAGACCTGGAAGATTTTTTTTTTTTTTTATAAATTTTATAAAATTTCATTTTAGCCCTCGTAATTTATATTTATTTTAAAATTAATAGGGGGTTTTATGTTATTTGGCAGGGGACTACATTGAAAAAATACAAAATTTTTTGGGCCCGGGCCTTGGAGGAGGGCCCAATGGAGGGCCCGGGCCCTCCTCCTTAGGCCTGGTCCCGTTTTGGGACCAGGCCTCCTAGGTCCGGTCCTCTCAAGGACCGGTCCTAGCACTGGGTTTTAGAGTTGGGCTTTTGGGCCCGGTCCTAAATGCCCAGCTCTAATGTGCTTGACTCCATAACATTATTGGTTGTGTCAACTTTAAGTAGTTAAAAGACAAAATATTTAGCTGTCAAAGTTTTAATCACGCAACTAATTCCTAAGAAGAAAGGTAAGAATTTTACTAAAGCAGATTGTGGTCAAAGATATTTTTTTGTTTTTGATATTAGAGGGTATCTGGGTCAGTTTATACGCGTCTCAACTAGTCTTTCAAGACCCTATTAAAAAGAGTTAAAAAAAAAAGAAAAGTTTAATGGGTAAAATTATTTTCTATGCATATGACAATTAAAAATAACCATTTCACAATTAGTTTAAAGGGGGCATATTAGGTCCACTCAATTTACACGACATTCTAGAAAAGTATTTATCATTGATTGTTTATCAATGAAAAAAGAATAATGCTACGGACACCGATAATTTACACTTAATCGACGTACGTGGCATCCAATTAGATGCAACCACGTTAGAGACAACACTCGTCTTTTATGAATGAACGGCCGTCCAACAATTATGGATGCCCGTCCATATTTGATGAACGATTGTTCATCACAAATGGACAAATGTCCATGAAAATAATAATGGACTCCCGTCCATATTATTTGGAGGGGAATCCTCTACTATGGATGAGCATCCACCTCATATGGACGCCCGTCCATAAAATTTTAGAACGTCCATCACCAATTCACCATCTATAATTTTCAATAGAAGGCCAAACCTTTGACTCTAGACAGGTGTCCACTTTTGGGGAGTTTTATTTTCTAAGCATTTTTTTTTTTCAAGTGTAGTGGGCATAGCAGGAGCACATTTGATGCCTCACCTTTAATGCTGGTTGATTATGGACAAAAAGCTTGACTTTGGATGGGCATCCATTGTTTGGGAATTACAGCAATATGTTTAGCAATATGTTTATTTTCTAAGCATTTTTTTTTTAAATGTAGTGGGCATAGTAGGAGCATTCAAGTTATCCACTCATTTTAAATAAATAATTTGACAAGTTCTGTTCTCATTGAAAGTGGACGCCTGTCCACATAATATGGATGGGCGTCAATTTTTTTTTTTTTTTTTTTATAATTTAAATTATGGACAAAAATCTATTCGAGGTTTTTTTTTCCTTTACTTTTACTTTTTCTCCATATATTAGGAAGCTAATAAGTAATAAGATTTATTGTTGGGATAGACATAAATAATTTCAAAGGGTCACCGATTTAATCCAACTACTAGATTGCTTAAAAGTATGTGTTAGATATTTGTAGGACCATTTTTAGGGAGAGCTAAAGGAAACTTGGAGGGATGGTATATTGGACTTTAGCTTATTTAGTGATCTTGCAGAAAAGTGTAAGATGAACATTTGGATCTCCAAAATATTAAGGTGTGAGCCTCAAGCTGCCACAAAGTTTAAGCATGAGTTGAGTTAAAATAACTCCATTAAGTTCCCTGCCTTGACTTAGGGTTTTCTTAGTTTGAAGGTGGAAGTAACAGGCCTGGTAATTGTGAATCTTGCTCTGTGTGATGCAGAGTCTATTTGGAATGGCATCTTCATTTTTATTTTTATTTTTTTTCAATTTTTCATGCTGTAATTTCATATTGAGTTAAATCTTCTAATGAGATTGTATACTTTGGATACATGGCTGACACCATTTATGAATGTGTTATACCTTGGATATGTTGCATCTTGTCTATGAAACCTTACTGCTCTATGGTTCACAGTTAGTCTTTTGGAAATATTTGCTAGGTGTTTTGGTAATATACCATATGTTTGACAGATTGTTGATCTTACTATGTTTATCTGTTCAGTTATTCATTTAGTTTTTAATGTTTTTACTGGTGAAAATCCTTATTTTTTAACTTCTGGCATATTTTCTGATGATATGCTTAATTCTCTTCTTTCTATAGCCTTTTCAATATGGATGGAGACATTGCACCAATGGTTGAACTTGTGAAGCTTCACAAGAAGTATGGCTTCTTGTTAGTCTTAGATGATGCATCATTGAACATAATTATTATGCAATTTGCATTCCACTTTTACTCTCTGCACTCAACCAAACAGTCAAACTGAATATTCATTTTTATTATTAATTTAAATAATTATTAATTAATATTACCATTTTGTAGGTAAATTAAAATGACGCCACAAAATGTTTGTTTGGGTAGACAAGTACTGAATACTTATCCTAGTTGGTATTGATATGATACTCTCTCACATACACACAATCACACACTTGAGTAATGGCAAGATTGAAGAAGAGCTCAAGGCGAAGATGTCTTCACTGGAAGAAAAGTACACCATGGAACCCAAGGAAGTCGTTCATGAAAAACTACTTTACATGTGCGTGAATGCTCCAAGATGAAGACTTTTTTTGGAGGAGGCTTAAGCATGCCAAAGTTACAAGAGTTGAACTATGAAGATTGTTCAGAGAGTTACATTGATACAATCATACAACAGTTACAAAATGGTAAGTATCATTTACTTAACAATATATTTTTCCATAAACTTTTTTGTTCTCTTTCATTGAATTAATACTAGTCAATCCTCAATGATCTTTATTATTGATTTTGTCTTTAGTTAAAATTCTCTAAGTGAATCAATTATACACTATCAAGTATACATAGAAAAGCTATAATATAACAATTTATGTTTCCTTAAAGTTAATTTATACGTGTTTTTAAGGCATATATTGAAGTAGTTGTTGAGGAAATTCCTCATTTTCTTGATTAATTGATAAATTATGATATTTAGAGTTTGAAAATAGCATTCTCTACAATTTTCCCTCTTACTATTAATGTGTTGTTCTTTAATTACAGATTGTTCAGAGTTATGGGAAAGATTCCCATGAGAAGCACTACACTTACAATTTTTTCATACAACCCTGATGTGGTGGTTTGTGATTGGTTAACTTGCAGTGGGTCCGATTTGCCTTAATATTAGTTGACCAATCATGAGCTACCACATTAGGGTTGTCTAAAAAAGTTGTAAGCATAGTTTTATTGATAAATTTTTACTTCAAGTGGTTGAAAAAACAAAAAACAATAAAATAAAATAAACACTATTTGGTTTCGCGAAGTAGTAAAAATTTGCAGGTGCTTTTATCTTGCTATAAAGATACTCCTCTATTTTTCCTAAATATTCACTCAGTATCTCTGTCCTTTCCTTGCATTGTCAAAGTTAAGGATAAATATTTGTGTGGTACCAGTTCCTCCCCTTCAAGGAGTTTTTGTTAAATTGTCTTCACAACTAGAAGTGACCAAAACAATCTCACCATCTTGTCTTGGACATGGACTTCACTTGCACTTTTAGCTCTTGTCTTTTTCCTCCAAGCGTTTCTCTGGAAAAAAGACTCAAAAACTAAGAGACTACCTCCACGTCTTAGAGGGTTCCCAATTTTCGGAAGCCTTCATTTGTTGGGAAAGTTTCCTCACAAAGATTTTCATAAACTTGCCAAAAAATATGGCTCCATCATGTTCTTACGTTTAGGCTCGATTCCTACTATTGTTGTTTCATCACCTCACACTGTTGAGCAGTTCCTAAAAACTCAAGACCTTGTTTTTGCCAGCAGGCCTCCTGTTGAAGCTGCAAAACACATAGGTTATAGGCAAAAGAACTTGTCCTTTTCGCCTTATGGATCTTATTGGCGAGCCATGCGCAAGATTTGCACCCTGGAACTTCTTAGCAGTGCTAAGATTAGTTCTTTCAAGGCCATGAGAAAAGAAGAGCTTGATCTCTTGATTGAGCACATAAAAGAGGCAGCTGCTGCCGATGTTGCGGTTGATCTAAGTGACAAGGTCTCATCTCTCAGTTCAGATCTGACTTGCAGAATGGTGTTTAGGAAGAAATATGCGGATGTCGAGCTTGATGAGAGAGGATTCAACACTCCGATTCACGAGGGTACAAAATTGGCGGCCATTCCTAACTTGGGTGATTACATTCCTCAAATTGCTTCACTTGATCTGCAGGGGCTGACCAAGCGAATGAAGACGGTTTCCAAGGTGTTTGATGACTTCTTGGAAAGGGTTATTAATGAGCATGTTGATTCTGAGGATGAAAATAGAACAAAGGACATTGTTGATGTCAAGTTGAGCTTCGTGGGTTCAGAAGAAACCAAATACAAGATTGAGCGAGAGCACGTCAAGGCCATGCTCTTGGTAAGCAATCCGAGAATTATTTGTTGATGCTAGATTTTGGACACCAACTAAACGAGCGTGTGCAATGCTGAGTGGGCCCAAAAGACACACGTGAACGGTTTGAATGTGAGTGAAAGAGAATGACAAGACTATTTTTAAAGTGGTTCGGATGCTTTAAGGAAGCAAGTCCTACGTCCACTGATATGTATTAATGTTAGCGACCTGGTCGAGGTCAGTGAGCTGACTTTACAAATGATGTTTACAAGTGAGAGAAAGAGAAATACAGTATATGCTATTTCTTTGAGAGATTAGCTAATCCCGAAATTGAGAGAGGAACTCTCAATTTATAGTTGGATGGATTAAAGTGATGATTGCTGAATCTGTGAGTTGGTAGGATTATCCGTACAAATCTTCCTTTATGTCCCATTACCCATTTTCCAGAACGATTTGCATGATTTAGTGCATGCAATTGGACACGTGGAAGCTCTCCAGCTCATGGCTGGCCTGGCGCGCTCCCACTACACTGATAGAAGCAGGCTACTTCTTTGTCACGTGACTTGGCTGTGGGTTCCCAAGTTCTGAGTTTTACATGCTGACCTGATCTACATCAGCCTTGTTTTCCTTAGGCATAACAGAAGTCTCCTAGTTTTTAAGGTTTGAGGATTGGACCTTGAAAAGTATAATTCATGCCGTGGCTGGACGTCTTCGAAGTTCTGGTGATCCCGAGCTGGTTAAAGAGAGATCGAGGTCGCGCTTTTGTAATAGTGTGACCTTGCGTGATTATTGCTTTTAAGAATGAGCGACCTGACCTTCCAGAGTATACAACCTGATTACACAGAATCCTTTGCTAAAAGGGTCATGCTATTTCGGGACCGAATGACTATTAAGGGTCACGTCGCTTTGCGACCAGAACGACATGATCGAGAGGTCACGTCGCTTCGCGACTAGCCTAACGAAGAGTGTTCTATATAATGACCTCTTCAGATGTTATATGTTGTACTTTCAATATGGGTACATTTAATGAAACAGTTTCTGCTCTATCAGACATGCTCTACACATAATAAGTGCTAGCCAAGTGCATTAAATGCGTGACAGGCTGAAACGACACTCTTTATCAGAGCATTGAATGCAGACTTAGGTGCATTAAATGCGTGACATTCTGAAACGACATTCCCTATCTAAACATTGAATGCAGGTTGAGGCGCATTAAATGCGGAGTGGGAGAGTATCGTTGTTTGAGTTTTTCAGCGAGAAACACATGACGGTTAGGTTTTTTCGAATCGTGACGGTTAGTCTCCCCCGCCTGATTTGCGACGAGTGGTCGTGATCAACGGTGAGGCGCCCTTCTGGCCTGACGTCGTTTCGATTCAGAGGAGACCAAGTGTCATTCCCTTATAAAAACAAAATTTTCTCAAGCATTGTTATTATGCGTCTGTTTCAGAGAGAACAATAGACTTTCGCAAACTGAGATCCTCAGCCTCCTAAACCAGCGCGTTCCTGTCATCTGAAGCAGAAGAAGCCATTTGAAGCAGAAGAAGCCATTTTCACACTCCAAGAGGTGAGAATAGTTTCTATTTTATTTTTTCTTCTGTAGTTGAACAGCATTAGTCTTCTGATAGTTATCGGGAATGAGACACTCTTGCTGGGTTCAAGCCGTGAATGGCGGCTCGAAACACTCTGCTAGGGTTTTTGGGATTTAGGAAGTTTTTTCTTTTCCCACGTCATCGTGCCAAATAGCGCACAATGGCTAAGTGGCTTCTTGCTTGTTGCTTTTGCAGACTGCAGCATAATGGACCCAACAACCAGACCCGAGGAAGGGGCCGGCCTATCTGCGCAGGATGCTCCTGTGAGCCTCACTCAAGAGATCTACTCGGTGCTTACCAGGGATGAGCTCGAGCGAGTGATAAAATAGTATGGTATCAATGTGGAGGTTCTCTGCGATGGGACACACACAGCTTGGCATCCGCCAAGTGGGATGGCCGTGATTTCTGAGGAAATATCTGATTCCTTTCCACCATTTCGTCAGGTCGTTCCTAGATCACTTCGGCATTGCACTGATGCAACTCACGTCAAACGCGTACATGATCGCTGTTGGCATGACTCTATTTTGGTGATAAAAATACCTCATGTGTGATTAAATTGAAGTATATTGAGACAATTAAAGAATTTATGCATTTATTCACGAAAATAGCTTCCTAATATTTTTCTTATAAATTTAACGTGTTTGGAATGATTTTGGAAAGTATATGAGTTGATATTAGGTTGTGGTTTATGGATTAACGGTGATTTTGTCTCATTTATGCTGTTTAGGGGGTAAAATGTCATGTTTCAAGGGGTTGATTCTGTCATGTTTCAATCGTGCAGGGACCAAATGGAAATTTTCCAAATTTTGTATAAAACTCCAATGCAAGTTTGCAGAAACGGGGCTGCTGCCCACCAAAACTCTTCACCTTCTCCGATCAAGCTCCGGCGACCCTTCATCTTCATTTCCGATGATGTTTCGGCTTCCCCTTGCTCCGGTCACCATCATCCCGTCATCACCACCGTGAAACACGCCTTCCACCGCGACGCTTTATCTTCCCACCATGACGCTTCGCATTCTCGACCAGTTTTGGCCATTTTTCGATGATGGTTGGACTCCCCAGGACTTGATCTCCCTTCCCCACGACCAGATCTAGCATTTCAAAGCTTCAGCCGCCGCGAAAACCGCCGGAATTCGCGATTTTGCAGTCGCGCCTCTTCATCTTCCAGCCCAGATCCTGCTCATTTTCGGTGACTTCTCACCTCGCCAGGACCTGATCTGAACTCCCTATCACCAGAGCTTTCCATCGGTACCTTCGGATCCCATTTCCGCCACCGTTTTTTGGAAGACCCGCCGGAAAATTAATGTTTTCCAGCGAAGTGCGGCTGTTCGTATTCCGGGCTGTCCATTGGTCATTTTTGCCCCTTCTTCGTATCATATCGCTGTCAGTTACCTCCTCTCCGCCATGATCAGCTTCGTTTCCACTGTTTCAGCCTCCGTCAGCACCACCATGAGCGGCTGAGTTCCCGGTTGTCTGTTACGGTGTAGGCGAGATCTAGATTGACTCCATTAATCTCCTCATCAGCTCTCGACTAGTTGGATGAGCCTGAATGTTGGACATTTGGTTAAGTTTCTTGTATTCAGATTATATTTGTTTTCGTTTCAGTTTGTTTGCGAAGCTTTAATATTATTCTGATGCTCGACGTGTTGAATTGATAATGTCCATTGAGAACGTTTATTGATATATAACTTTTCGCATAATTGAATGTCGGTTTGAGATTATTGAATGTTGAGTATGACTTTAAATTGCTTCGGTACTGATTGCAATCAAGTTGTAGTAGCGTTTAATATCATTTCTACTAGGAATGCATTTGTTGTGTAATTAGTTGATTGGATAATACAGGTTGATAGGTTGTACTTGTTAACATTGTACCAACTAGTGGTGTTTAAGGGTTTAGCGTTTTTCGGTTAGTCGATGATAGTCTTTAACCAATCGATCTGTAACTAAGACGACGGGGAGACAGGATAAATTATACCTAGCTTGCCGGAAGCCATTCTATTGATTTGCCTAGCCTTGTAGGATTAGGAAATTGAAGAGCGAGGAGAGGAATTGTGAGAGTTGGTCTTGAGTCAAACCGAACCCATATCGACAACCTTTAATATTGTTTTTTAGTGCAATTTATTTAATGCGTTTAATTTCCTATAAGTAATTAGTTTCCTTAGTTTTCAATCATTTTGCCAATTTCTCTTTCGTTAACTCAAATATACATTAGGTCGTTAGTCTTGCTCTCTATGGATCGACCCTGCTTACTGCTAACTATGGTATTTAGGTTTAATTTTGTGACTGTGATGACTAGTGTAACAAAATTTTGGCACCGTTGCCGGGAGCAACGTGCTTTTGACTTTGTGTGTATTTGGGTTTGTAATACTTTAAGTCTAATTTTTCTATGTTCTTTAATTTTCATTAGGACAGTTTCATTCGTGTTTGTTTTTATTTTGCAGGAAGATCGCAATTGGGGAAACGTTGCAGTGTGTCATGAGCACAAAGTTTAGCATGACCCGATTGTGATATTTTCTAATCTTTTTAGCTTTAGTTCTTTTTAGTTCTTGTTAACGTTTGTGTGATGTTTCCATGTTTCGTGTTCATTTAGTTTGCATGTTTGTATTAGTTTTGCATATTTTGTTTTTATTCATAGATTTGTTTTTGATTTAGTAAATTTCTTTTTGTTTGACTGTTTGTTTTAATTGTTGTATGTGGATTTTTTTTTTTAGGGTGTTATCATATTTAGCTTTATTTTCTTTATGTGTGCTTTTTGATTTTGCTTTTTAGGATTTGCTTTTAGTTCTTTTTCCTTCTCTTTTTCTTTTAATTTTGATGTTGTGGTTGTTGTGGAACCTTTGGTACACTTGTAATGAATGCTTGGTAGATAGTAGTATCAACCAATTTTAGTACCCTTGGATTTGAATATAGAAAGCACGTAGATGATAATAATCTGTATCCCTGCACAACCATCTAGCTTCTAGATTCCTATCATAGGGCACCCGCCTAGGAATGGTGGCATTTATGAGTTTTCTCCTTTGGACGATATGACTCCAAGTTGGAGTTTTTAGCCTATCAATTTGACATGTTCATATCTATACATGGCAAGCTTCTAGGCAACCACCTCCCGGTAGGACAAGTCAGGATGTCTTTTTTATCCTTCAGACCTTTTAGCTGTTGAGTACACATTGAGGAACCAGTTCCCTACACTTTTGAGGAGCAAGTGCAAGATGCACAAGGTTTCTAGAGACGAATGATTTGTATTCGAACACATTGATAGTGGTGGCATGACCATCCTAATTTTTCATGGAAGCAGAACACTCAGAATGTCTCCCATAATATGTCATTAGTTCTTCCAATCAACAGGGCAATTATTGGGCATGTATTCAGTCCAACCACCCGCCCACCCTAGGATCCCACCCCCCGTCCAACAACCCACTTAAGTTCCTAGTTCACTAG